CTCGCTGCCTGTGCCTGGCCTTGCCCAGGTGAGGTCACCCTGGCCTGGACAGCTCCGCCTTGTCCCTCGACTGCCCCGGTCCAGCTGCCAGCTCGGCCTTTCCCAAACCCAGATCTCTCCCCGACACCAGCCCGATTCCCTGCTGCTCTGACGACGCCTGCCTGGTGCTGGCACCTGAGACCCCAACAACCTCTCCAGCCCGCCTCTCCCCATCACTGACTGGATTCTGAGGTTCGGCCAGGCTGTTTGCTTTCACTATAGAGCCCCCTCCTCCCCGCCACTCCCCTCACAAGGCCGGCCTTCGCCACTCGCCCACAGCACGTGGGGCATCTTCCCTGCCCACCTGCACGGCCTGTTAGGAGCCCCCTCCCAGGTACCTTTGTTATCATTTATGTGACATGACATCATCAGGTGCTCGCCTCTCACCCACAGGGTGAAGGTGGATGCTGGAAAATGTTGCATTTGATCAAATGAATGTCTCTGAAACCTGTCCCATGTTGACTGCCCACCGCCAACCCCCAGTCTCACACACACACACACAGTCAGGCTCCCAGCCATTGGTTCCGCCCCCGAGGAGCCCTGGACCTTGGCTCCCCGTCTGTGCCCCTGACCCCAGCGTCCTCAGGCACCAGGATGGCCCTTTTTCTCTCTTTCTTGTTACCTGCCATCGCCAGCATCAAGTGCCACACATGAGCTGGGACCTCACCTTGTTCCGTTCGGAAGAAGGAAGTAGCATTAACACAGAGGATCTTTTAAAACCTGAAAACCTGTAATTAAGCTCTTCTGTGAATGCCTGTTACCAGTGCCGTGATTATGGCATTTGAGGGAGGAACGTGGTGGGAGGTGGCGGGTCACCACCATGTGGTTTTATTAACAGCAAGATCAAGCAGGAGGGGCTCGCCATGCCCAGTGTTGCCCTCTGGGGTCAGGTGGGGACAACCACTTCCCCAAGGACAGGGTCAAAATGAAGGAGCTGGAAGGGCCCTGGGAAACCAGGACAGAGGCCCAGAGGGGAGAGCTAGAGGCGGCTCCAACTCCATCTCTTGTTCAGGATGGAGAGACTGAGGTCCAGTCAGGGACAGGGCTGGGCTTTGGGACTGGTGGCAGGAATCTTCTGGACACCCTGCCAGTGCGGATCACATCCCAGCCCACCCAAGCCACCTTGCGCTTACCAGACGGAACTGTGCGTGCATGCAGCACGGTGCAATGCTGGGGGGACTCCATCGGAATCCAGCTCCACGTACGATTATGGGCAGGTCACTCTGTGCTCCAGTCAGCCCTTTATCTGAGAAAAGCAGCATCTCCCACACAAGGTTTCACATGATGGCCTGTGATCACATTATAACGACTGCCCGACTCACAGGACCCCCTGAACAAGCCTTCCCTGTTGGCATTATTATTTGTCTGTTCTCTCCACCAGTCTGAATCCGTCCAGAAGAGGGTGGGGGCAGTTCTGGGAATGTCTGGCCTGTGGCTGGCACCGGGGCCAGAGTGGTGACCAAATCACACAGGGTCGTGCCTTCGCCACCTCCCAGCTTGTGATGGGGGAGGCATAACCCTCCCAAAATGCACACACACAATCCAAATTCACAACAGTGGCCAAGTGCCAGTAAGAGGGAGTCATCTGTGACCCTGTATAATAGAGGTTCCTGATGGGAAAAAAATTCTCTGACTAGGCTCTGAAGCAACTAGCGAGAGAGAGAGAAGCCAGGGAAGCAGATGGAAGCACGTGAGGCAGGGAACAGCGCATGCAAAGGCCCTGGGGCTGGAGAGAGGAACGCCCTATGAAGCTGGGGCAGGGGAGGCTGAGAAGGCAGGCAGCTGGAGGAGGGAGAGGAATGGGCAGGTGTCAGCGCACCATGGGCCCGCAGGTCATGCTAAGGGCAATGGGAAGCATCTGACATTTTAACCCAAGGAGGTAACATGATCAGCTTTACATTTTAAAGAATGTTCTAGCTATGGTATGGGGACATTTGGGGAGGGTAGAAGTGGATGTGGGGAGGCCAGCTGGGACGCCATTGCAGCAAGTGGTCCAGTGAGAGACAATGGTCCAAGATGGACCATCTGGACCATGAGGGGATGAATGAAGAATGCCCTTGGGAGACAGAGTGGATAGAGCGGCTGCAGTCATGGACGGGACACAGGGTGAGGGAGGAGGTGGCAAGTAGGACTTCAGCACATGCAGCCGGCTGGAGGCAGATCCTTCACTGAGATGAATGAACCAGCAAACCTCAGTAATTTGGCCACTGTCCGGGCCTCAAAGTTAGCCATTATAAATCCTTATGGTTCCAGGGAACAGAAGTAGGTTCTATTAGGAGCCCCCTGAGGGCCAAGGCAAGACCCTGGGTCTCTGGACTCACCCGTGCCCACCCCACCTGGTGCCCAGCAGAGTGAGCTGGGAAAACCCCATGTGTGGCAAGAAGTAAACACATCTGGCCCCGAAGGCAGAGTCCTGGGCTTCTCTGGAGATGGGATGAGTAATTTCGATAATTGAATTTTTGAGTTAGATTTAAAATATGGCTAAGATTGAAAAGGCAATTTGGCAGGGTCGGGAGCCCCCAGGCAGGCTTCTCTGCCTCTGCAATGCTGAGAACTTATTAACAAGATCACTCTTTCTCCCGTCCTTAGCCCCATTCACAAGCGGTTCTCAGGGCTGCTGTGTCGAGGTATTCAGTTGTGTGCCTCTGGACCCCAACCCTGGTCACCCAGAGACGTTTTGTTGCAAAGGGCAGAGTGAGACTGCTTGGGCTGCGATGCAGGGAAGGGCTGCAGTTTTGGGACAGACAGCATTTCAGGGGGACACAGTATATAGTCCAGAGGACAGGGTCATTTAGAGAACAGGTTTTGACAGACTCAGGTTCAAATTCTGGCTCCAGCTCTTGCTCAGGTGACGGTGTACCTCAGTTTTCTCACCTGTAAAATGGGAAGGTGGTGCAGATCAGCGAGACGATGCCCAGCGTGGCTACTGGAGGGGCCAGGACGTTACCCTTCGGGCTCACGACAGGGAAGGGGGCGGGCGGGCCTCGGGAAGTGAGACCCCAGGGTGGGGAGAGCAGGCCCGGGGGTGGGAGGCGCGGTGCCGCTCTCCCCCTCCTTCTCTCTGTACACTTCGCCCCTGCAGATGTTTCTTTCAGGTGCAGCTCCTCAGGCACACGTGGTGATTAATTTCACCGAGGGGGAAATTGACGCCTGTTCTCATTACTGCTTCAGAGCCTCCCGAATTCATCTGCTGGTAAAATTAACTCACCAGGGACAATGGAGCTTTTTCCAAGGTCCAAATTGTCCTTATTTGCAGACTTTGTTCTTGGCCCTAATCCAGCCCAAACAAACCGGGCTGCTCCTCCACCTCCCACAGGAGGGAGGGCCTTCACTAGGCCAAGGCTGGGAATATTTTACATGATTCTAAGCTGGGGGATAAAAAATAGACTTTGATTAGGATGACTGCGTTCTTGAACGCTGTGGGTGACTGAAGCGAATGGCCAGCTGGACTCCCAGAGGCTCCTGCTCCCAGGCATCAGGGTTTACCACCCAATAGGCCGGGGATGCACCATGATTAAAAGTGGATTCCCCACCCACCCACTCTCCCAGCCCCCACAGGCTGTGCACTAACCACGTGCCACACACAACTACCAATGAGGCAGGCACTATTGCCCCCCTGTAGGTCCACCTGAATCGGGCTTCCAAGGCTAACGAGCTCTAACCACTGTAATACACCCCTAACCCCCACCTCCACCCCTACCCACCACTTACACGCCTGTACGTGTGCACACCAACCATGGGAACTTAAAACAGTACTGCCGAAACCTGCTTGCTCGCAGGGCCAGGCCTGGGCCCCCGCAGACTCCTAGCGAGGGGTGGGTGGGGCGTGCTGGTCAGACCCTTTCCCTCGGCACCTCCTGAAGACAAGCAAAAGGGGCCAGAGAGGAGGATCTCTGAGGAGAGGGGGACGAGGGAGTGAGCAGGCTGAAGGAGGGGGGCGGGGGACAGAGGCCGAAACATCAGCACGGTGACTGCACGGGGAAAGCGAACCAGGGGCCGTCTCAACGGATGGCAGGAATGGGGACCGAGGGGGTAAGTCGAGTCGGGACTCAAAATGCTCCCCCGGTGTGGGCTGACAAAGGAGGCCCACCTGCCCGGCTGACGGCTGCTCAGGGGCCCCGAGGTGGCGGGTGCCGGGCTGTGAGGGAGACAGAGCAGAGCTGGATGCACAGCACTGCGTCAGGGCACGGCCGGGGAGCCCCTGCCGGCCAGTGCCTGTGGGGCACCTGGGCCCATCTGGAGCCTCTGTGCGCAAGGGGCCAAGCCCGACCCGGTTAACCTCACAGAGACACCATGAAGTTCAGAGCCAAGGGAGGAGATAATCAGACACAAAGGTAACGACATGGTTGTGGCAAACGCACTGGGCAGGACAGTGGAGACAAAAGATCACCATCATCACAGGACCCTGCGATGCCAAGTCGCCACGCCAAGCCTCTTGGGGTCTTCCCCATGCTGGGAACACACCCCGCAGGGCGCTGCTCGAGGACATCATCGTGCAGTGCCAGGTGCCCCGGTCTCGCCAGATGGCGTCCCTGCTCACTGGACACTGAGTGGGCTGGGCACAGAGCTCAGGTGACCACTGAGGGCCACTCCAGTCCCGAGACCCCAGTCTGTCCCATGTGGGTGTCCAGGACCTGGGCTTTAGGCTCCACAGGAAATCACTGCATCACCACATTGAAATGAATCTTTAATGAGCATCTTCAAATTGCAGGACCGGCCGAGCACTGAGCAAATCTAGGGAGGCCGTGAGCCCACCACTGTGCGGAAGCCACCGCCTCAGCTCCGGGCCGGCCCAGGGGGCGAGATGCTCAGCCCACCGCAGGCTGGAACCCCGTCTGACAACAACCCCACAGCAACTGTAGGATAGAAAACATTACGGGGAAAAATAGGTTTCCAGTGGCCAGAGGGCCCTTCCGCTCACTAAGCAGGAACCACACTTGTAACAAAGAGACAGGACGAGCTGGGTGGGGAACCACGAGCTTTATTGGCGGACAGTTCTACTCAGGAGCCCGGTCTGCTGGGACTGGCCGTTCCAGGATGGGCACCCCCGGGCCTGAGCTAGGAAAAGGGAGGGAAAAACAGAAATTTTTAGGTTCCATGGAGGGTTTCTGAAATAAGATCCCTGACAAGGTTAAAGGTGAGGTTGTTATTCTGAAACTACCTTCAAGGACACACTGTCTGATCAGCAAATATTTATAGCAGCAAATGACAGAGAGACCAGATCGCACTCGTTCACTCAGGAAAGACTTACTAAACGCCCACTCTGGCCGGGCACCACTTGCTGCATTTCTCACTGCTGAGCAGCAAACCCATCATTAGAACCACCACGGAAAACGGGGCATGATAAAATGAAACTTTTCATGCGCTGCTGGCAGAAAAATACAACTAATGGAAGACATGCGACCGGGTTTCACCTTCAACTTCATTTTTAAGTCAGTGCCGGCTCGGCACCCACCCCCATCCCCCCGCGGCTCCCTCACAGGGGCGTTACCTCCAGGTTTCCTCGGGCTTTCCGCAGGATCTTGTGCGTTACAACCACTAAGGAGAGAGAGCAAAGAATGGGATGATTAGCACCGATGCCCAGGACGACAGTGCAAGAGCCAAGCGCAGGGGGGAGCCCCCGGCCCCAGTCGGTTCAGGCGTGTGGACAACTCTGCAGCATCCAGACCAGAGAGGTGCGAAGGCCCTGCCTGCCCTGTCACACAGCCCAGGACCAACAGCCCAACAGAGCGGGTGGACCAGTGGCCTCTCCTCAAGTCCATCCCCCCACGAGGGATGGGAGTGCCCGCTTTCAGGGAAGCAACTATAAAGTGAAGTGGCCTCCTCCCCAGGTCCTTGTCTTGTCCAGCACAAAGGCCAGCAGCAGCGAGGATGCTACCACTGTGGAGGGCTCGCTTGATCGGGGATCCATTCTCAACGGGCTCTGGTGACGGCCAGGGACTCCATCCACTCCCCGCAGAAGCCATGGGCTTCTGGACCTGGGCATTTGGCCAGAGGTGCCCAAGGCTGGAGGAGACTCCCCACCAACACACACAGCCCAACTCCCCGATGGCTTATTCAGAATAGGTGCCACGTGGGGGCCTTGAGAAAATGCTTCTTGCCTCACAAAAATTCCCATCTGGAGGTAACAAAGCCTGTTTGTAACCTGCGACCCCAGGGAAGGGGCAGATGGTGCAGGCTTTGTTTTTAACTGGGCAACGTGAACTTCAGAGGTGCCCGGTGCCTCTCTGTGCCCTCCTCAACCCCACGCCACAGGGCAGAAGTCCTTAACCGGGGTCCAAGGCTGAGCTTCGGGGCATCTGAAATCCCCAGAAGCTAGGTGCAAACTTTGTGTGCACATGGATGTGTGTGTCTTTCTGGGGAGAGAACTCGTACCTCTCGGGAGATTCGCCAAAGGGTCTGTGACCCAGGAAAGATTAAGTGCTGTGTCTGTGGAGGCTAAAAATAATGTCACAATGTACTGGAGATGCCAAAAGAGCAAGAAAAAGAGTGAAGGCTCACCCGGCCCAAGTTTGAAGGGGCCCCCACGTCTGAACAGCATCGCCCACGTTCAGAGCAAGAAACCCCCAGTGTAATGAGAAGCCCCAGGGACAGAGAGGCAACAACCTGTCCCACGTCAAGGCAGAGGCAGAGGCATGACTAGGTCCCAGGTCAGACTCGGGACCGTGCCACCTCAGCAGGGGGCTGGCGAGGAGGACACCAGCCTCAGTGGGGTCCAGCTGGTGACAGGCGGTGTGCCAGCTGTGACCTCGGTGAACACCCCCAGGAATTCCTGTCTAGAGACTGGAAGTGAAGTGGGCAGTTCCAGGGCACGTGGGGAGGCAGTGGCAGGTGGGCTCGCGGGGACACTTGGCCTTCCTTTCCCTGCAGACTCTGGGAGGAGGTGGAGTGTTCAGCGGTGCACAGGCCGGTGGGCCTGCCCGGGCCCTGCTCCTCCTTGTCTTCAGGTGGGGAAGGAAGAGGAGGGGACACAATGCCAACTTTCACTCAGAGCAGACCCTGGAGGCTGGCGGGGTCTGGGGACCTCAGGAGGGGCGGCCGAGCCTGGCAGAGGAGTTGCAGGCCCGGCTTGGCAACCAGCTGCATGGCCCTGGGCAGGCCTCCCCCCTCAGGCAAGCCCTGGCTCTGTGTTAAGCACTGAGACTGAGTGACATCATCTCAACATGGGAGATGCTGCAACAGCTTTGGGCTTTCGCTGACTATTAATGGTTTGCTCCCACCTCCATACCCAGAATTCAGTCTGACCTAAAGGCATAAAAGAGGCAGAGAACTAACATACACTGAGCATCGATTCTGACTCGGGAAGGGTACAGGGGAGTTGAGGGATCATTACCACCCCGATTTTACAGATGAGGAAGTGGGCACATTTTTTTTATAAAGTTGGGATGAGACCCCAGGCCCATCTGGCCAGTCTGAGTCCTTTGGAATTACTGTCTCTGGTTAGAGACGAGGGATCTAAAACTCAGAGAGTTCAGTCATTTATTCCAGGTCACACAGGAGGGCAGAGATCTGAGCCGCCCTCACTAGTGATTCCACGCTCCCCGACCCAGGACTCAGGGCCGGGCTCTGTCCTCTGGATCTGCCGCCGTAACTACTCAGACATACATCAGAATCTACTTCTAAAATCTGCTCACCTGTCAACGGGGCAAACTTCATGTGCCCTGTGACGGTTCAGGACAACAGACATGGGGCAATGCCAATGCCGAGAGCCCCAACCTTCCCTGGACTCGAGGGCTGAACAAAAGTACCACCTCCCACCACCTCACTGCCCCAGGGGTCTGACCTGAATGCTCCACCGCCACCTCAGATACGACCGCTCTGCCAGGGCCACCCCCTCACTATGTTCCAACACCACCCCCGCCCCTCCACGGCCAGGCACCCGGCCCTGTCAAGCCTCACCATGCCCGCCTGGGGGACCACGCAGCCCCTGAAGAGGATTCCCTGCCTCCTGGGAAGTCTGTTAAGTGAACTCATTGGTCCATGAGGGTCGGGGAGGGTGAAGTGCAAAAGGAAACCCATAAAAAGTAGGCGTGCTGACACGCCGGGGCTGGGCTCTTCGTCCTCAGAGGCAGGACACAGTCCCACGTGGTGGCTGGCCCCCGGCCACTTACATTGATCAAAGATGACTTTTTCCTGGTTCTTGCTCAGCTGCAAAAGCTTCATGGTGTTTTGCAACTTCTTTTCTTGTTCAAATAATTTTTTGTGTAGTTTGGTGATCTCTGCTTTCATTTCTCCAGCCTAACAAGAAAAAAAAGGAGTTCGAAGAATGAACAAAGAATATAAAATGTCAGATTGTATAGAAAGAATTACAAAAACCATATAAAAAGTGTTCAACCTTGCCAACAAAGGTATTTGAACAGAAACTGGAAGCCATTTTCAGTCGCTCAGATGGACAAAACCAGGCAAAATCCAGCGGCAGTGAGGGTGTGGGGCAAGCGCTCTCAGGACGGCTGGTGGGGCTGTGAATTAACTCAGCCCAGGGGGACCCACGCCAGGCAGGACGGAGCATGTTGTAAACTGCGCCCAAGCCTCTGACCCGGCAATTCCACACATGGGCGCTTACCCCGAGGAAGAGCAATGCAGGCACAAGATAACACCCACGCTCCAGGATGTCCACCTCAGCGCAGCTCACAGCAGGAAAAAATAAACAACCCGATTTGTTTTAATAGGGAGCTAGATAACTCAATTACGGTACTTACATACAATAGAATAATTTCGCAGCTATTAAAAAATGATGGTGTAGAACTTCATTTATTGACATTGAAAGATGATCATAATTAGTGACAAGAAGAGCCCAGAACAGCTATTGTGTATACCAGGCATTCTTGTTCCATGAAACTGAACACATATATCTCTATCTATAGATGTACATATCTCAAGATGTCCAAACTCTGATGACAGAAGCATCATGAAAATGTTAAGAGCGATTTATTTCTGAGAGATGGAAATTGGAATATTTTATTTTTCACTTTTTTAATTTATCAGAATTGTTTGAGGTTGGTTTTTTTTTAATGCTGATTTTTAAAAAAAATTTAGTGCTTAAATCTTAAAAAGAGACTATCAGAGCATTATTAGTAGAATATGATCTATTAGGAGAAACCGTTTTGATTTTTCAGAAGTGAGGAGAGAGTAGATGGGGGCAAAACCAGAGTCCCCAGGCCTTGAAAGTGTAACATACACACCACAGAGGCTCTCTTTAAGTATCTCCACTGAACCAGTTCATGGGGGTAAGGACACTCCTCCTTCTCATGAAACACCTGGGCTGTTAAGATACACTGGCACAGGCCACCCTCTGCTACATCAAAACCCCACTGCTTGCACAAGGAGGGAGGCTGGACTGTCTGCTGATGAAGAATCAGTTTAGTTTGTCCCAAACTCGTCTATGGCCCTTGTACTTGTGATCAGCTATATGATTTAATTAAGGATTAAGTCGAGCCATGAGCTATGTGTACAAAAAGAGAGAACGGCTTGTATGAAAACTAACGTATGTTTCCGGAAAGACTGGATAAAGGCAAGTCACTAAAAAACACATTTCTGGCGAATTAGGTGTGGGTGACTCAACCGTAAAAGAAGCGGGAGGAATACAGTCTAGAAGAATTCTACAAGCAAACTGCTTTGCAAGTGACTAAGTTTTTCCTTCATCTTAAAGAAACAGAAATTGGAAGTGACAGACATACATTATGGATGTAGTTTATGAAAGAAAGAAGATGTGGAACTTCAATCAGCAGACCCATTTTCAAAGAAAAGGCCCTGGCCCCACATCAAAAGAATGGCAAATGAATGTACATTTAACTGTTTTAAGTTAAACTGAAATGTTTAAGGTATGTATTATTTTTTGATTCCCTGCTTTAGCCTACTTTTAAGATTAACCAATCGTGTCAGCTACAAGGGCTTCAACTGTGCTTCCAAAACAGGTCCTAATTTAAACATTAGGTTTTCTTTGATTCTCTTCCTCAGGGTGAGAGCCCACAGAGGTCTGGGTTCTGATCGTGGCTTTGTAGGCCACACCTTCTGGGGCAAAGTCACTCTCCACTCAGAGCCTTAGTTTCACGTGACCCCCGAGCCCTCTTCTCACACAGCAGCAGAGGGAGGCTCGGATGAGACAATGCCTGAAGGCAGCGAAGATGATTATTTCTCACCCCACCTGGCTACCTTCTCTCTCTAAAGTCAGCTCAGGCATCACCTCCTCCAGGAAGCTCTCCCTAAGACCCTCCCCCACTAGTTAGTTACTGCTCCTTTGGGCACCATCGTGCCCAGTGCTCCCCTACCATGGTCCATTTCACAAGCTCCCTGAGGGTGGAACTCAGTTCTCCCCTCTGACCTCCGGCGTCTGGTACAGGGTAGGCGCTGTGACACCATCTGCCAACTGGTGGATTCACCTGCGCTCTCAAAACACCCTGGACGTATTCTATCCCGCACTGAAGACAAGGAATTTCAATTACGCTGTTCCTCTGAAATTAAAAATCTTCAGTTTCAGCGGATGAATACACCATGGTAAAAACAGCAGATCTCCAAGGCCCAGGCTCGGTCTCTTTCAACTGTTAAGATGGTACAGCAAGGGAGGTTCAGCTCTCACGTCCGGAAAGTGCGAATACTACTCCTGAACTCTCTGAAGCCACTATGAGGGACAAAATGAGATGCTGAGTGTTTAGCAGAGCACCTGACACCCAGCAGGAGCTCAACAGAGTAACCTCCTCAGGCCTCAGAGCTGGGACTTAGTCACGAATGTCCTGCCTATCTTCTGGTTTTTTTTTTTTCTGGCTTGTTTGTTTTCTTTTTAAAAATGAAAAATCTCAAACATTTTACAAAAGTAGAAAGAACAGGATGATGAACTACCAGGTACCCACCCAGCTTTAGCAATTATCAAATCATGGCCAAATTTGCTTCACCTACATCCCTGCCCAACCTCACCCTAAAATCATTGTTAGAATCCATCCTGGAGGACAATCATGCTTCAGTATATAGCTCTAGAAGAAAAAATTCTTTTGAAAATCACAGCATCATTATCCCATCTGAAACAATGACAGTGACTGCTTAGTGTCACCAAATAGATGTCACTTGATACGGTTCCCTGACTGCACCCTAATTTTATTTTTGTATACAACTGGTTTGATTCAGCATCCAAATAAACTCCACGTTTTACACCTGTCTATTCTGTCTCCAGTTCCTTTTAATCCAGTGGTTCTCAGAGCTGCCAAGAGGACTTGTGAAAACAGACCGCTGGGGCCACTCCCAGACATTCTGATTCAGTAGATCTGCGGTGAGGCCCAAAAATTTGCCCTTCCAACAAGTTTCCAGATGGTGCTGAGGCTGTCAGTCCAGGGACCATAATCTGAGAACCAGTGTAAACACGCAAGTTTCACTGTCTCTTTTCTCCCTTTTTTCCTTAGGATGAAAAGATGTGCTAAGCTCACATTTCCAGGCCCATGCCTAGAATCAAGCCATCTCTCCAACGAGCCCTAGTTTCTTTTAGTAAAAAAAAATGGGTATTTAGAAACCACAATTTGGTACCAGAGGTGCTCACTGGTACTGGACTGGACATCTTTAGAGCCTTTTAAGTAAAGGGAATTAGTAAATTTTTTAAATAGAAAATACATCACAGGTTCATACTGGTATTTCCAGTTCAAATTAGGGATTATAGGATTTTAACTTCTCTGATTTTTTAATTTATATCTCTTCCCTGACAGTAAAAATTTCAATATAATAAGTTATTTGTTTTATCATATATAATAATTTCAAGATATCTATACAAATATTATTACTAAAAATATAATCATTGAAAACAGCTAAAAAAATTTTTGCAGTTCTTTATACCTGTTCAGTATTTCCACTAGGACTCTACAGTCAAATTACTGAGTTTTAGTCACTGAAATGTTTCCTCTTTGTGTGATTATGCCTCCAACACCATTCACAGGAAAGTCGGTTTGTTTTAACCTGTTCTGCGTTTTTAGAAGCTGTTTTTGTCCCATTTGATTAATTTTTATTTATAATTATATAAAGCATTTACACAGTTTCCAAGTCAAATTTATGAAACAAGGTCAATTCTGAGAAATCTACCTTCCATCCTCTTCCTTCCCACCCCTAGATGTAGACTGTTCTGTTATTGTTCATCCTTCTACTTAAAAACATTTTTATAAACAAATATGTGTTCATACGTGTACCTCTCCACACAACTTTCTTAGATAAACTGATAGATGTGACACACAGAGTGGTCCTACGGACTGCAGAAGATGCAAAAGGCAGTTTAATGACATTCAGAAAAAACACCAGGTAGTGAAAAACCATTGGAGCTGCTGGTGGAAACTTGGGAACATGCTTTACGCAGATTTCACACCAAGAAAAAGGCACCGTATGAAACATAGGCAGGGACAGAAAAGTGGCTAGAGGCAATTTCACACCACACAGGGGGTCCGTGAACACCAGCAACCACATCGGAGCATCTCTGAGGTCCTTTTTGTGGCTCTAAAATTCTGTGATGTTAAAGTGAGCGAAATCAATTACCTGAGGAACCCTCGTAAATAAGTGGTGAATCATCACAGGCACCGGCCAGTTCCTGGACTAACGTGCTAGTGGGGGAGACCAGCTGGACTCGAAGTTGTATTTATGCACACACGTAACAGCAGTGAGAGCTGCATTCCATCTATTTAACAGACTGCGTACTGAGGACAAAAACACTGCATCGAGGGTGAAATGTTGTGCTTCAAAAATCATATGGGCAAGTATTAGTGTGGGAGGGTGAGAGGAAATCATTCATTCATTCACTCAAAAATATGAACAAAATAAAAAGAGAAAAAACATATGAACCAAAGTCACGGCCCCTCATGGAAAGTGGAGGGATACAGATGTTAAAGAAGTCTGTAATTGTAACCTGTGATAGGGTTAGGATGAAACAGGAGAGGCTGCCAGGACTGAGTGACCAGGGAGCCTCTGACCTTGGAGTAACATTCAAGCTGAGCCCTGAGAGGTGAGAAGGAGCCGGCTGGAAGGAAGCATCCGTGTCTTCTGGACTCAAGATGGAAAAGAGCTTGGTGGGTTAGGAGGCCAGGGAAGGCCAGCGTGGGGCTGGAACCCAGCGGGCCAGGCCGTCTTCCTCTCCAACAGGCCATCTTTCAGGCCAGGTCCGCACAGCTCAAAGTGGGCACAACAAGGCTTCCCTGCACAGTGGCCGGGTCTGTACTTCCCTGAGCCTCGGGCACCCAGACTTCCCCCAGGATCCCAAGAGGGAAATCTAAGGACAGGCTCAGCGAAAGCCTCTGAGCTGAGAGCTGCTTCAAAGCTACCTCTCTGCCGTGGTCAGGAGGTCTGAGAGCCGTCAGAGGGCTGAACTCGGTGAGTGAGGACGGGGAGTGTAGATTTCCCTTCTGCCCTCCCGCTGGCCTTTGGCAAACATTTATAGGTTAGATAAAGGGGACAGCATCTCTCAGGCCACGAAGCAAACAGCTCTAACTCTCCTTTAACCAGCGTGCTCCTTCTTCCAGGCAGGCTCCTCTGACGACCAGAGCAGAGCTGACCTTGTCATCAGACGGCATGTTCCCCACAAAACCAGGGGGACAGCGTCTGCTTGGCCCAACTCCTAACTTGTGCCATGATGGGTGGGGATGGGGATGGGGATGAAGGGGTGAGCAACTCTTCTTAATTCGGTCACGTTCAAGTTACCGCAAAGTTGAGCTTTTAAGGGAAATTTCAATGGTTTTGTAACAAAGGATTTTCACTGGTTAAAAATAAAAGTAGTTTCTAAGTAGCTAAAATAGATTTGAACAAAGCTCACTAAAATATGATGCTGAAGGCTATCGAAAAGAATCAGACAGCCCAGAGAAGGCATCAGAGAAGAAAGAGGTTTTGAGTAGAATGGAGTGAGCGAGTCCACGAGGACAACCTGGAACGTGGAGCCTATAAATAAGTTTGTCCTTGGGATTCAACACCTGGGCTTCCAAACCAGCTCTGTAACCTTGAGTATGTGCCTCACACCCCGAGCCTCAGCTTCCTCATGTGGAGAATGTGGACATGGCTTCCCTCAACAAAGATGTGCTAGGAGTGGGGACATGGTTGGGTCCAGGCCACCAGCCAAGCCTGCAGGGCATCTGACCTGTCACTCTTAACAAACACGGAGCCCTCCCTGCCCTCCAGCACAGCCCCCGAACGGCGGGCACATCTGCATGGACCAGGTTCTGGGCTGGACACGGAAGAGAATGAGACACAGGCCCAGCGCATCCTTGAGCCTCTGCACCCAAGTGTCCCCACCCACCTGTTGACAGTGAGGCGTGCACTGGCCATCAGTGGGGAGTGACACCCTCCAGAGAAGCGTCAGCAGCCTCGCGGCCTCGTCCAAGGTCAGCCTGGCTGCGCTCACACCGGTGACAAAGCTGCTCAGGGGCGCCGAGTGTGGACCCTGCATGGGGGGTGGGGTGAGAAGGCTGTTACACGCAGTCCTAAAAAAAGATGGACAAGCCAGCTTTAATGGGCAATGTAAATCTCCAGGCTTCAGGGCCTGCGTCCCACATGCTGAGCAGGAGTCTGGTACTGGAAGACATCAATTTATTCTTAAAGACGGTGAATTACAGATTATGAGAGAACTTCGTTGGTGATTTTAGTCCAATCAATAACCATGATTAATAGCCACCTGCATTAACTACATTCACTACGCCAAGAAGAGGGTCTGTGGTCCGGCCCTTTTCCTGTCCCCATAGCCATGGAGCCTCTCCCAGAGGCCAGCGACCCAGCGCGGATGCTTCTGTCCTCAGCAACCCCAGCTCCACAGCTCTGCCTCCTGCCAATACGATAGGGCGTCTGGTCAAGTCCCCCTCACCCTCTCCGCTGCCAGAAGCGAACTCAAACCGGGGGATGTCAAGGCCATGGGAAAGCAAAGGACATGAGTCAGAGAAGGGAAAGGACGAAATAAATGAAAAAAGAAAAAAAAGAAATTAGAAGAGCATTGTCTTCACAAATAATAAAATAAATATAAAACAACGCACTCTTTTAAGCTATCTACTTGGCAAAAAAACATTTATAAATAAAAATGCTCAATGAAGACAAAGGTGCAGGGAGACACTCTCACTTGTAAACAGAGAACAAGTTTTGGGGACGTAACACAGCAGCATCACCACCAAGAGCCCCAAGGAGTCCACACAGCCCTTGGGCGAGTGATTCCACATCGGGAATCCGTCCCTACTGAGCGGATCAAAGATATGGCCAGAGATCTACTATTAAGGATGCTCATCACAGCTTAGACGTCCAACAAACAGGAAAGAGAGCTCGCAGACGGGGACACAGCCACACGTTAGCTCATTTTTCAGCCATTCAAAGTCAAGTTCTAGAAAAACATGGAATGAGACAGGAAAAATGTTAAAGTGTTAACTGAAAGGCAAATATGAACTTCACAGATTCTGGGTCAGTTTTATTAAACTTTATGAATGAGCTTAAAGTGCATACATCAAGTTTTAAGTGTTGACCGCTACGTGGCATTTTTATAGATGTTTGTTTTTAGGCTTTTCCTTAGTTTCCAGCTTCTGTAAAATAACAATAATCTTATCAATACCTATTCATTCATTCAGCAAATGTCTAGCACGCACCTGCCGCACGCCAGGCCCTGTGCTAGGCACTGGTCGTGTAACGCTGAGCAAGACACACTCTCCCTGCTCCCTGGGAGCTACCGTCTAATAGAATAGAAAATGCAAAACGGGCTTTTATGATATAGTAAAACAAAACAAAACGAAAAGGCAAAACAGGTAACAGGGAGCAGGGGGCTCAAGTATTCTCAGTAAGGACTCAAGAAGAGGGATGAGAAAATGTGACCCCTGGAAGCTCAGAGACTGAGTCCAGACTGGGGGCAAAATGAAAGTCTGACCCCAAGCCTCGGAGGAAGTGAATGAGTGGCTTTACGTCAAGCGCCCAGCACCTGGATCCCTGACAAGAGGTAACTTTAAAATGAGGAGGATTCCAGGAGGATGAGGCAGGAAGGTAGAATGGGCTGAGGGGCTTCCATGTTGGAGGGCACGGGGGGACCGGGAAACGACAGTAGGGAGGCAGGAGCAGACCCAGAAATGAGAAACCCTTACAGTCTGAACAGAACCGGGGAGGGGGAGGTGTGTGCACAGGTGACGGAGGGACTAGAGCGCCCTGCAGGAAGCCGGATGACAGAGAAAGAGAGTGCCCTGGAGGACAGAGACCTAGGTTCAGATCTTGACTGCTCCGAGTTACTCTTCCAGAGCCTGGAAGGTAGGAATGACACCTTCGTAAAGGCTGCCCTGGGATGAAAGAAAACACAACACTAAAAGCTCCTCTGCGAGAAAGCATGGCAGGCCCCCGCCCTCCACGACAACGCTGAGGAGGGTGAAGGAGGTTCACATCGGCAAGGGCCACCACACGCCGCGTGAGCATGAGGGCCTCACTACCCTGTTCACCCCCAGAGCCTGAGCACGGAGCCTGGGAGGGTGGATGGACAGGTGACTGGGCAGATGAACGGACGGACACACTGCAGGATTGAAGGACAGAGGGATGGATGAGAGACTGGACAGACAGAGGCCATCCCGGGCGATGCAGCAGGGCCCAGCAGAGTGATCACAGAGACCCTCATACAAACCTCAGCAAGTGTCCCTCCCACAGAACAACAAACAGTCCCCTACACCGGACCTGACCCCTGAGTTCCGTGGGCTACGTTTCCTGGCCCCTCTTCTCAGGGTCTCACTGAGACCCATGTGCCCTCTCCCACCCCCTCAACTCCTGCTCCCACGTGCGCCCCTCTCCCTCCAGCTCCACTGCTCTGGGTACCTCTGCTCCCAGCTCTTGACTTGTGGGGCTGGGAGCCTCTTGGATCTGAATGTCCATCTCTGCAAGGAGCTTCTGGCCCTGGCTGATCTGCCTGCATAGGGCATCGTAGTCCTCGATCAGACCCAGGATGTGGCAGCCACTCTTGCTGGCCCACAGGCAGTGGCCAGGGACCAGGCGGGACACACTCGAGGTGCTGGTGGTCGAGCTGGCACTGACGCAGGAGAGGGTGTCCATATCATTTCCAGAGAGCGGGGGAGTCTCTGAAGCTACAGAACGAGAGGGAAGATGTCAGATCTATTTGAGGCAGCTCTCTGCATTTGACAAGCTGTGCTTGATGACATTCAGCCAGCCAGGAGGGCTAAGAGCCTGCCGGCCCGACTGCCTCCTGACACAGCCCAGAGGGCAAGAGGCCTGGGTCCAGGACCCCAGTCTGCATATCGCCCCATGCTGGGCTTATTCACGTTGTGGGAGAAATCACTTTATTTCAACCAGCATTCACCAGGCACCTGTTCTGCAGAAGAGCCCTGATCTACACGGACGAATCAGGCCTGGGCCTGCACTCCAGGGGCCCACCCGGAGTCTAGTCAGAACACAGGCTCCGTGTAGGAGGTGTAATAGCATGACAACAAAGAGCTGGAGCTCAGAGCTCTCTGTGCAGCAAGGGAGATCAAGGAAGGCTTCCTGGAAGAAGCAACAAATGTGCTGGGTTGAATAGGCAGCAAGGATTACGCTACACAGAGGTAAAAGCCTGCCACTTTTCACCTTTGGATCAACAGAAGCCCATACAGATAATTCTGATGAGGGACATCAGGAAAGACATTTCCTAGAGCAGTTCGCATTCCGGATGAGTCTTGAGGAAGTAGCAAGATTTTCACTGGCAGAGAAGGGGGCAAAGTCGGTCTGACAAAGGCAGGAGGCCCACTGCACAGTCCCAGTGAGAGGAGAGTGCAGACCCGTCTGCAGGATGGCGACCTGTCTGTGTGGACCACGAGGGCAGAGGGGTGCGGCTGGACGGGCCCGCTCAGGCTGGATGCTGCGGGGCCTTGAAGGCCACACTCAGGTGGTCACACTTTAATCCAGGGTAACTGGGCCCCAGACCACTGATGTTGCTGAGGCTGGTAACACCAAGGAATGTATTAACCAGCTTGGAGGACAAGATCGTCAGCCAGAAATACTGAGAACATAAAACCCCAAATCCTGCCCAGTAACCCTTTGAGTTGGGACCAGGGGCCCCCCTTGCCTCCAATTTGAAAAGTCCCACTGCCAAACCCAACCATGCCATAGTTACCCAGACTTCAGCTTTGTACCTGATCTTGGTGGCAGTGCCGGGGTGGAATCAAACAGGTCATGCGAATTATCAAGCGCCATGGGACACCTGTCACCATCTACAAGATGCCAAACAAGGGAAAATAAACCATCAAAAGTTCTAATTTCACTGTCATCAACATTTGAGAGAGACTGGAACGGGAATGAAGCACCAGACACACACGCGCATTCGTTCAAGTCCTCACCGGGCAGCTCTCCTGCCAGGCCCTGCGCGGGACACAGCGGATGCAGGGTGAGCAGGCCCGGCCTCTCCCTGGAAGGACCCTCTCATCCAGACAAGCAAAGAGGCCGTTTCCTCTCAGGGGTCAGGGCTGAGGGAGGGAAGCATGGGGGCTGTGGGAGCTCAAGTGAGGCTGGAAGCCCAGGAGGCAGACATGCAGACAGAGGAAGGGGCAGGTGCCCAGGCGCGGAGGAGAGGGCCCTCATGACGCATTCAGGGAGAACGAGGTGGGGACCACTCAGAGCGTTAGGCGAGGCAGTGCCAGGCTGAGATCTGTTTGGGGCTGGAGGATGGAGTCGGGAGGCCGCTGCAGTAACCCGGGCAAGGGAGAAGAGTGACCGGCAGTAGGACTTGGCAGGTGATGCATTTGAAACCACGTAAAGGAGGCAAAACCAATTAGATGACCAGCCACATGCTATAATTGAGACAAGCACTTTCCCAGCTGAACTCTCAGTAGCTCGGTGGGCAGGACGGCACTGCAATTCAGATTTCCTGGGAGAGGGGACCAAGGGGCAGAGACAGGAGGCGATCCGCCTGCAGCAGCCAGAGCATCAGTGGCAGAGCGAGGACTGGGCCCAGGCCTTACGCTGTCCCGCCCAGCTCGTTCCCACCCAGGCACCGCCCGAGGGTGCACTTCGATTCTGGGATCAAGGAATCAGGGGTCAGCTCCATGGAGCCGGCCCCTGAGAGGGATCGCTTTCTGCAAAAACAGCCATCTTTAGAGCAGAACTTTAAAACAGCCGCACTTAAATACCGCCCTGAAAGGTTTTTTGGCAAAGGGAAAAACGCCGCTGCCTACAATGTAATTTTAAACTTCACTCAAGGAAACTGGAGAACTTTAATGCGGAGGAATTTTGAGCACATGCTCGGCCTTTCAAGGCCCATCTAGGGCGGATCCTGGACAAAATTCAACAACAGACAAAGGCTGTTCAGTGGCCTCCTCACATCAGCAATCCCAAATCTCCGTCCTGGGCACCAGGCACTGAATCCTTCTCCCTGCTCCTGTCTCCCTAGCCCACCCCCATCTCGGTCTCATTCCTCAAAGCCCTGAGAGGGCCAGGCCCATGGCTGCTGGGTGCCCCGTGCGGGGGCCAGCAATACGGCACCTTTTGGACCCCAGGAGGTTCCCCTCGTAGGATTTTACCCTAAGAACGCTGTTGAGCAGAAAGAGCGTATTAACACTGATGTTTCCTAAAGCTCCAAATCAGAGACCACTTTAACAATCGCCAGGGTTAACGGTCTGGTGACTGGCAATTATCTGAAAACAATAATTAGGAAGCCCACGTGGAAGAAGGGGAAACATCTATGATGTGATATTGGGCAGAAGCAAAGAAAGGACACAGAATGGCACAGAAACCAATCTGAACGACATAAATTCACACCCACATTTGACTACCAAATGAAGAGACATTTATAAAGTAAAAAATTATTATTCGGTAACCATGAAGGATTTTTTTTCTTTTTTTTCATACTGTCACATGATCTTTGTGGCTCAAATTTTAAAATCTTTACCAAGGAGAAACCCATAAGCCAATCACTGCAAGTTCTAGAGATGGGTGACCAGGGGCTCTCTGAGAGATTTTAGTCTTTTTAATTACAGACAACAGAGGTAATTCCCGTCCTACGCAGAGGTAGTCCAAACTTCTCTGTGATACTCGTTTATAAAGTATGCTGATACTCCCTGTTCTCCGGAGGTGCACACCCACCCTGCGGGCATTAGGATGACGACCCCCAGACACCTGAGGCTCCCCAAAGCCACGTTGTGCTCCAGGAACAGCACTGGACTTGGAGCTGGAAATGACGTCCAGCTCCAGCTCTGTCACCTGCTTGCTGTGTCACTTTGGACAAACCCAGTACCCTCTCCAGGTCGTAGTTTCTTCATCCAAAGAGCAAAGAGGATGGCCTGTCTGACTGCTCTGAGCCTGGCCTCGTGCCGGTTTATGATTCCTGGCCCTACGCTGGGAGTGGGGCAGAGGAGGGGCAGAGGAGGGACAGGAACCCGGTCGTGGCCTCTTCCTGCTCCCTCCAAGTTCCCCGTGGGGCTGGACAATACACCTGCCAGCAAAAGCCAAACGGAATCAGTTTTCAAACCTGCCAGGAAGCTTTTCAAATCCTGAGCCACTGACAGCCAGAGGAAGAGGTGTAGATTCTTATTTTCAAGGCATAAAGAGGGACAAAAAAGATTTTCAGCAGTGGGGTGATGTGGACAGGACTAAGTGGATGGGAGGGAGCAAGCCTAGAGGCAAGGAGGGCAGCTGGAAGCCCAAACTCCACTCCCCTGAGAATCAGGAGGCCCCAGACAGAGACAAGGCCATTTTGCCAGAAGTGACAGCTAATTAGCCTTCGGGCCCCCGGCTCTGGGGATAGCGCCTGTCAGGCGTCAGGGGGAAACCAGCTCCCTGGAGCAAGCGCAAGACCCAGAAGCTCCCACGTCCCACCCAGACGTGCAGAGCTGCACTGCAAACAGTCAGGAGGGGCCGGGCCGTACCAGGCTTGTCCCGCTGCAGGGGCTGCTCGGGGACGGACAGGGTCTGAAGCGCCGAAGCGAGAGCTGCCTGCGGGGCCTCCTCCCCGCCCGTGGCCAGCCGCTCCCGCAGCCCGCTCTGCCGCGCACTGCTGGGCTCGGTGCTCCTTTCCGGCGGTGCCCGCAGAGCCTGGATCTCTGTTAGGAGGCCATGCAGGTCACCGCGAGGGTCCTGCCCCCTCCAGCCTTCCCCCGACGCCTCTGCGAACACGTGCAAAGGGAAGCCTTAACTCCGTCCACCACCGAAGGGCCGGCCGGCAAAGACAGCAGACGGTGCCTTACAGCCGCCACCACCCGCCTCCCCTTCCTAAGAACTAGGTACAACTGAAAATAACAACTTGACTTTAAAAACAAAAATACTGGCAGACTTAATTGCTGCTATTCCACAAGCTAAATAAAAGCTGGAAATTAATTTTCTCTTCTGGCCGTAAAAGCCTAGCAAATTGCACACCAAACCCCGAAATTATGTCTAGTAGTAATAAAATCTATTTGGGCCAGAATTATAGGATGAAAGGGGCCGATTTTAAGAGCCACAGTATATTAAAAAGGCACAACAGCAAGAATCAGAAAAGCAACTTGAGAAGAAAATGAAAGCTGTGAGGTGACCCTTTGCTAGATAAACTTTCAATAGGGAGAAACCAGCTGGAAAATTAGTTTAAAAAAAAACCCACCACACCTCAAAATTGATTCTAAAGCATCAGAGTTTACAGTCAATCACTCTGATCCGATGTCCCTCTCAGGGTATAGAGAGGACCAGGGCCGACAACTGTCTCCAGAGCAGTGTCCCGCACACGGTAGCAGGTGCTCTAGAATTAACTGCTGAATGAATGGGCGAAAAGTAACACACACTAGCAGAAAATTATAATAAAAGGTCTCTCTTGAGTGTCTACCACGTGCCAGGTACTGTGTTAGGATGCTCTTAAAAAATGAGCTCGTTTAGTTTTCACAACTGTACAGAACAGATGTGAGCAGACATGTCTTGGAGAGGAAGCAACAGGCCCAGAGGGGTGGAGGCCTGCAAAGGCTCGCAGCCGGCAAGTGAGGCAGGAGGACCCAGACCTCAGCTGGCCGGACTCCTGAGCCTAAGTCCTTCCATGTCTGCTGCTGTGGCTTCAGAAGGAGAGGGGGCCAGCGAGCCTGCCTCAGAATACGCAGGCTCCAGCAGGGCAAGCCTGGGGTCTCAGGAGAGCGCCAGCCTGCCGTGCGGGGGAGCCCACAGACCAAGCCAAGCAGCCCCGGGGCGGGAAGGGGGCTGGCCCGGCCCAGGGCGCCCCGTACCTCGCGGGCTCCGGTGCTCCTCGTCCAGCTTCTCGTACACCTTCAGCTCCACCTGCAGGGACTGCAGCAGCTTGTCGTTGT